TCTGAGAATGGAGATCCATGCTCACATTAGTCTAAATGCTCCGTGCACAGGACTGGTGGCCTGGGTTGAACTCGGGCTGTGAGTGCTTTGCCAGGAACGCGGCACAAGTGAAGTAGTTGAGAATTCTTTCTGCTCAGACTTTAGAGGTTCCCGAGCCCGCTGGGAAAATGACACAGGGGTGGGAACTGGGGGGACCAACATAGGACCACTGATTTCTTAGCCTGGAGGCCAGACCTGTGGTGTGTGGCTTTTCACAGCTGCTTCCAGCCTTCCATTCTTGGAGGTGGCGGCGGTGGTTCAGAATTCTCCTGGCCTTCTCCGGACGTGCTCAAGTAAGAGTGCTGCTTCCTGGCTAGTCTCCCGCTGCCTGTTACTGCCGCTGGTTTTCCCCACTGAAGAAATTTCTACAGCGAGTCGTTTTTGTCTCCAGGCACCCCCACCGAGTCCCATGGCCCGGGAGGTCCACGTCACAGACTGCAGCCCCTGCCGCGCACCCCGCCGCGCACCCCGCCACCCTTTACTTCCTGCCCTTTCTGCCTCCTGTCCTAGAGCCGCTGCTCTGCAGGCCACTTTCCTTTGTTTCTGCGCCAGCACCAGCATCTCATGTTGTTTTCAGGGCCACGTTTCACGAAGTTGTTGGGTTTGAGCTTTATTTTTCTTGTTTCGTAGAAATGACCGGATTCACAGGAACGGGGGAACAACAGCCCCCCATATGCAGGTGATGGGCCCCTTAAGTCTAAGTCCACACAGATGCCCAGGACCCCCTCCCCACCCCTGCCACACACGGGCCGGGTATGGTCTAGTTGGTGCCTCTGCAAAATGCTACATGGTGAACATGAGGGCCTCGCCCAGCTGAAACCACTGCCATTCAGTCGGGACAGGCGGGGCCTCGGGGACAAGCATCCACTGTCACCACAGGTGTAACTGCCCCTTTTGCTATAAACCCGCCACTTGGTTTACCTCCACCAGAGGAACAACTGCCAGAAATAGAACGCAGCCGGGTATGGTGGCGCATGCCTGTCATCCCAGCACTCGGGAGGCTGAGGCTGGAGGATCAGGGCGAGTGCAAGGCCAGCCTGGGCTACAGAGTGAGTTCACGCTTGAACTGCATAGTGGGGCCCTGTCTCCAAAAGACAAAAAAAATCCAAACTAATGAGAGACTGTGGGATTGGTCTTATGTCAGAAGGCGCTTGGGAATCATGCAGCATGTGGGTCTGAGGAGCCCGCAGGGACTTCTCTGCCGTGGGAGAGATGCAGAGGCGAGGCTCAAGGACCACCAGCTGCCTGCCTGTCCCGGGAAGCCCAGTGTAGCGTGGGCTGTGGGTGCACCACGTCTTCCCCCAGTCTGGGAGCTGGTGTGTGCTGGGCCACATGGCCAAGGTGTACCTTGCAAAGGGAGCGAGTGCGCTTACCACTTTTCTCCTTCCCATTCCTAAGCTAATTCCTGGGGCCTCTGCAGCATCTTCAGTATGTTAAGAGCCATTGAGTAGCTGACAGCAAATACGATAATGGAAGTGGCAGGAAGATGCTTTCTTCCCATGAGCTCCTGGCCCCAAGTTGTGCCCGACGCTGGTAGGTGGCTCAGTGTCAGACCCCAGGACTGGAGGGGCACGTTCTTCCAGGCACTGTCACACAGAGGCTAAGCGCACAGACCGCAGCGGTTCAAATCCCAGCTGTGCTGCTCTCTGGCTGTGTGGCCTCAAGCCCGGTAGCACCTCAGTGTCCTCACGGGCAGGAGAGTCCTGCTCGGTCTTCGCTCACAGGCTGCTGTTGGAACTAAGGAGGTCCATACACGGACAGCATGTGGGGCAGGGCAGGGCACCTGTAACGGTTACTGCTGTGAGCTTGCAGCCGCGCTCCCAGGCTGGCAGCTGTCACTGTGCCCAGCAGGCGTGGTCGTCCCCGTGCCCAGTTACCCACCTTTAGCCATGGTCCAAAAATTCAGATAAAAACTTGCAGAAATAATTCATAAGTTTTTAAAAACCTTCCTACCAGTGTATTATCATGATTGTTCAGTTTTACTATTAGGCGTCATGATTGATCTCTTACTGTGCCTAGCACACATGGTAAGCTTTATCAGTGTCGTGCACGTATAGGAACGAACCTAGGACTTAGTACTGTCTGAGGTTTCCAGGTCCCCAGTTCTTGGGGGAGTACTTAGTAAATACTCTTGAGAGCCCTTGACCAGCCTGGGAGTGCTAATCCAGGCTCCTTGGAGCTGCCAGGACACTCCCTGTCACATAACCAGCGGTCTTGTCCCTGCGCTGGTGCTCTCTGGGCTGCCTTTGCTTCTCCTAGTCTGCCCTGGGCTGCCGTCTCTCTCAGGTTTTGTCCTGCTTATAGAGTCATTTCTGGGCCGTCATCAGGTTCCCTGTGCACCTGGCCTGGAACAAGTATGACAGTTAAGAAACAGGCCTTCATCTTCTTCCAGATGCACGATCTGCAACATCCTGCCATCTCTAAACATAGCTGCAAGAGACCCTGGGCAGGGTGAACCGAGACTGCTCCCCAGCACAGGCAGTGAACACCAAGTGGAGCATCTGCATTGCCCTCAGCAGCACTGAGGCCCAGAGAGCCCTTAGTAACGGGCAGTTCCTGCTGGCGTCCAGCAGAGCCCTGTGCTGGCTCTGGGTAGAATTCAGTGCTTTGGGAAATTTGATCAAAGTGGGGAAAGGATGCTTTCTGTCATAGCTCTGTGAGACTGTCTGGTATTAAACATAAGGCGCAACCTGTCGTCCCCCTGCTTTAGCTGTCTCGGAGAGGGAGAGTGGGAGGCACAGCAGCCAGGAGACCTGGCTGGCCGTGCAGCTGAAGTTCCGCCTCTGTCCCATGAAGGACAGATGAGGGCCTGCAGCTTTGGGGAAGACACGAACGGTCCCCTGCTGCAATGTCTCCCCACATTGCTCTAAGCACGCTCCTTATGTGAGGGAATTGCCAGTCCACTCTTCCTGAGAAAACCAGATGGCCGCACTGCCGGGTTCACCAGAGACTTCCTAGATTGGCACCAAGTTTATTAGCATCTGTAGTCTCGCAGAAGAACGAAGGAGACTGGAAGAGCAGAATGCCCCTGTGTGTCCCCCGGAAGGTGCGCGCCTGCTCTGAAGAGCTGGCGCAGGCAGCTGAGCAGCACACTGATCCATCATGCTCCGGGCAGCGTGGCGCCCGCGCAGCCTCCTTCAGCCCCGCTGTCCATGGCCGATTCTCACATCTGCTTTAAATCGTGCACTGAGACCGTGTATCCCCGAGTGAAGTACAGTTCCAGCTCGGAGAGGCTTCATCACAGCGCTGACATGAAAAGACAAACAGAAATCTGACTTGCTGTGTTATCCATCCAATAAAAAAACCACCCAAGGGTAGAGGAATAGATATTCATCACTTCCCAGCCACTCAGCCAAGCCCGCGGCCCCGGCACTATATTTCTAGGTGGATTTTGGGAGCCTTTCCCGGGCAGAGCGGAGGTCTGACAGCTCACTTCCCCTGTGGCCTGGCCTTGCGCCTGGGTGAGAACGAAGGGAATTCTGCTCACCTGACTCAGCCCATGCATACCATTATAGAAGTCTCACTACTTCCTGGAAGTTGAGCAGCACTTCCTCTTCCTGTTCCTGGATTTGCCTTTAGTCAGATGGGCTGCTGAGATGGCCTTTGCCATGGTTTAGTATGAGCAGAACAGCCTTGGCTTGAAAGAAGAGCAATTGATTATGAGAGTCTTCAGCAGGCTTCTCACCGGAGAATGTGTGTCACAAAAGGCACGTAGATTTTTTTTGTAATAGAATTATATCTTAGCAACTGTGCTTGTATATCTGATCGCTTCTACAGAAGCTAAGCTTTGAGGACTAGCTTTTGTTAATGTGGCGTGCTCTTTCCCAGGGCCTCCTTTTTCCAGAAAGTTCTTTCAGTTAATGAAGGTGGGGAGCCTTAGCTGTAGTATAAGAAGATCTCAAGGAAAGTGTAGTTTGGCTTGGATTTCAGCAGGTAAGGGAAATCTGCCTCTGCAAACACATGCCCTCTGCAGTGGGAAACCTCGGCCTCCCCTGTGAGCACGAAACAAGTTTTTACTTGTGTTCACTGAAATGCGTGGCAGGTGGGCGAACACATGCTGAATCACTCTGAGCTGATGAGTGTCCGAGGCCCTCTCGAGCATGATTGTGGCAATTGCAGTATTTGAAAGATAAAGCAGGCGCTCCCATGTGACTTACAGCAAGCGCGTGGTCAGGGGACACTCGGGTTCCATCCACTGCTACTTCCCAAGCGCCGACTTGGCACTGTTCACAGCGCGGGCAGAACAGTGTGGCCCTGACTTCTGCAGCTGACAGTGGAGAGGGTGACACGCAGCAGACTCTCCCTTAAACTGGTCTCCGAGCTGAGCCACCCCGGCCAGTCCGTCATTGCTCAGTGCGAGGGTGGAGGCGGGCTGGCTGTGCACAGCTCCGCCCGGAGGCCTGGAGGCCGGCGGCCACTGCACTGCCAATGGGGACGGCCCGGCCAGGTCTTGGGATGGTGTAAGATGCGCGCAGACAGTTATGACCCACTTCAATTTTCTCAGAGATGGAATATTCTGCCCGTTCCTTCTCGGTTTTTCCATTTCTTACCTCATTTTCTAGGAGTCACTAAGTCTGTCTGCCAGAGGCCGGGCCTGGGCAGAGAGGGAGCGTTACACTCGGGCCAGACACTGGGGGCCGGTGGCAGCCATAGGCGCCAGCTGCCGGGCACAGGATGACGCAGAGGGCGGGCGAGCTCGGGGATGTGACTTTCACTGTCCCCAGGTCCCCAAGGTCAGAGCTTTCTTCCTTCAATATAAAACACTGTATAAACGCAGGGGGGTGGTGGTAGAAGTGGAATATTTGCTGTTTACTGACAGTGATCGGAGTTTTCTGGCGAAAGCTCCATGCTGGAGAAAGGAGCGGGTGTCTTTACAGGAGCAAAGGGTGGCAGTTGCAGATTTGCCTTCCGAGTGCTGAGCTTTCATTTTTTGGATGCTTTATATAATTTTTTTTTAACAGAATGAAGCTGGCCTGCTGCAGTTCTTCCAAAATGTGATGAAAGAAACTAGGGCAGAGCCAAAAAAGGTGACGAGCTGGGTCCTCAACACGCTGCTGGGCTATTTAAAGCACCACAACCTCGCTGTGAGTGAGAGGTGAGTCGGGCGGGGGCTGCTCACTTTCTTCTGATGAGCTTCGTGTCCTGAAGCAGCTGAAATAGGACAGGGCGAGTTTTCCCTTCTCCTTGCTCTATCAGACCTCCTAACAAGACCACAAACCCAGTGCACTCCAGAGTCTAAAAATACCCACACGCGCCTGGACGTTCGTGTGTCTGCCACCTCTCTGACTGAGCCCTGTCCTCTGTGCTATGCTGGGGCCTGGCGGCTCGAAGGTTAATCAGATGGGTTTTACAAACTGGAGCAGGTGCAGACTTGCAGGAAGAGTCGTTTCTGCATGATCCTGTTAGGGTAGGCATGCACAGGGACAGGCCAGGGGCGCTGAGCTGTGGCCACAGAAATCAAGCCTAGCTTCTCCTGGGCTAATGCTTGTGCTGCGCCCTGAGGAACTTGAAGGAGTTGCTGAGGGTGAGAAGGACAGGGGCATCTGGGCAAAAAGCAGTAATGCCATGCTCAGGGACACATGCCACAATGGGTTCAGGAAACCCAGAAACTGCGGCATGCTCAGGCAGGCAGAAAAGGGGGGACAGAGATGGAGTAACGACCAGGGCCCACCGGGAGGACTCTTAGCAAAGCCTCAGGTTACAGCTCCATTGCACTCCGACACTGGGGGAACATGGTGTTCAGTACTCAGCTTGCACTGCTGTAACATACACCCAGACGGGTGGCTTTGAGAGGTAGCTCGGGAAGCTGGGAAGTCCTGATCAGGAAGGACTTGACTGAGTCAAGTCCCTTCCTGGGTGCACAGGGCCATCTTCTTGCTCTGTCTTCACATGGAGTGTTGGGGAAGTTATCAGTTATCAAAGGGCACCAATCTTATTGTAGGGGCCCCACTGTCATGACCTCACCCACCCCTCACCACCTCCCAAGGCTCCACCTCCTTATACTCTCACATTGAGGGGTACAGTTCAGTCCTCAGCAGAGCAGAACAGATCAGACACAGGGAGACCAGTTGGGAACGTCTCATGGTGCTGAGGAGGAATACCCCGGGCCAAGCTGAGGCGATAGTGGCCTGGCTGAGCAAGTGGTGCCAGTCGTGAGCAGTGCTGTCAGGCTTGTTCAGCCAGCCCCTACATTCTTACTTGGGCATGAAGGGACATCTAATCTTCCAGGAGGGAGGGGAAGCCAGGTGTGCTCGGCGGGAGGGATGTGGAGGACCACAGTGAATTTGGATGTGCTGAGCTTGAGCTGCGGTGAGGTGTGTGGGTCCACAGCGGGCCTGAGACTGCTTCGAGGTGTGAATAGGATCTCCCTGCTGGTTACAAAGCCCACGTCTGTCTGGACTCTGCCGTGTGCCAGGCACAAGGAGCTGCAGCCCTCAGGACCGGCACGGGCTCTGCTCAGAGAGCAGCTGGTGCAGGAGCTGACGACAGGGAAGCAGCGAGGAGCTGCTCTGTGGGGAGAGGTCGGCTCAGCTGAGACCTGAGGAGGGCGGGTGAGGCAAGGTCAGGGCCGCAGGTTTGCGTGCTGAGCGGCGCACGCGACCGTCCTGAGGTGAGACCCGGGAGACGCAGGCACACAGTGCGCTGCTAGTGGGACTCTCATGCAACAGCAGGGAAATGGGCAGGTGGCCAGGGAGGCGGCAGCGTGCCGGGCTGGCTGGGGAGCAGCCTGAGGCACTTCAGCCTTTGGCTGAGAAGCGGGGACCATGAGATGGAACCTGAGACACAGTAGCAGAGGAGGTGAAGGAAAAAGAGTGGAGAATGGGTGTGCCAGACGAAAGGCATGTTTGAAGAGGGAAGATGAGCCCCGGGCTTGAGCGTAGGGCACAGGAAGAGAGTGCCGAGGGGCGGCTGGGCGGCTGATGGTTCCTGCAGGGGCCGTGGGCTGCACCCTTCCCCAGAAATACTTGCACTCAGAGTTAACGCTACACTATTCCGGCGTCACACGTGGCCTCTTGCCCTGGGCCTGTGTGCATCTGTGTGACCGCCCACGGTCCAGTCACTTCCACACTCAACCTCCTACAGCCTGGCCCTGGGTGAGCGCCCCTGATCTGCCCCTCGGTCTCCTCGCTGTGCAATGCGGAGGGCACCACTGGCCTCGGAAGGGTGGTTTGGGGTCTGTTTAAGGTTTTTGCAGTGCTGGGCATGGAACCCAGGCGCAGAACCCTCTTACATGCCAGGCTAGCACTGTCCTACTCAGCGACACCCTCAACCCTCCACAGAGGGTTCTGCGAGGAAGATGCCCTGAGCTGGCGCACGGCAGGCCTCGGCGCCCTCTCCTTTGCTTTGCCCTGTCTTCCATGCCCGTCTGCCCTGATGTGACCTCTCATCATAAACGCCACTGTTCACACTGCAGGCGCTCGCCCACTCGGAAGGTGGAGACGCAGCTCTTCCAGAGCCCAAGAGGCTGGGGAGCGCTTGAGGCAGGAAAGGCCTGAGCCATGCTGGGAAGCCAAGGGGTGCAGTGACAGAATCGGTGTGTTTTAGGGAGAGGGGCGGGGTGGGCACACCGAGAAGTCTGTGGGGGTTCCGGGAGCAGGAGCAGGCCCAGCACCCCAGACGGGCTTTCTCAGGGAGCGCTGGCCTTGTGCATCAGTGTTGGAAGGGAGGGAGGGGCCTGCTTCCTGCTCGGGAGCTGTTCACAGCACAGTGGGAACGGGAGGAAAATCACTCAGGCCAGAGGAACCCAGGAGGGCTCCAAAAAGATGAAGGGAGGGGCTGGGGATTTAGCTCAGCGGCAAAGCGCCTGCCTGGCAAGCGCGAGGTCGTGAGTTCAGTTCCCGGTACTGGAGAAAAACCAAAAAAAAACAAAACAAAACAAACAAAAAGACGAAGGGCTTGTACGTCCAGGGTGAATGTTACTGTGAGGTCTCTCTCGCCACATGGTTGGCTCTCGTCCCTGGAGCTGTTGCATTTTAGTCTTGGGAGAGAGCACCAACATCTTCTGGTTCCACGCTTCCTCTAGTAGACGAGGAAACTGAGGCCCTCAGAGATGAGGTCCCTTCTCTCCAGTGGCACAGTGGCCAGGGCGGGGAGCCTGTGCACTGACCCAGGCCTTAGGGCGTCCCCAGTGCCAGTCTGTGAAATTAAGGGTGCGCTCCGCAGCCACTGGGTAACTGCTGCAGCCACCCAGGGACGGCTTGGTCTGCTGGGTGAACATGCAGCTCTGGCGTTAGCCCAAACCATCACAGAGCCCCCACAGGACCCGATTTTCAGTAAAAACACACGTGGTCATTCGAAAGTAAGTAAAGAGGAAGCCACACAACCGTGCTATTCTATAATTGATACGGAGCAAGAACTGAGCCGCCCAAAGCAAGCTGCAGCAGATCTGTTCTTCCGCAGTGTGAAGAATGTTCACTGACTAGTGTCTCAGGCCGCCTTCTGTTGTTAGTAACAGTACCACAGACTGGGTGCATTTTTGGTTTTTTTCCGGTACTGGGAATCAAACTCACGACCTTGCGCTTGCCAGGCAGGTGCTGTGCCGCTGAGCTAAATACCCAGCCCCTGGGTGCAGTTTTTAAATAAGGATTGTTTTAGCTCTTGGTTCTGGTCCAAGGTTGAGGGGCTGCATCGGGTGATGGCCTCCTCTTGGCAGAGTCCTGAAGCCGTGTGGAGCCTCACAGTGGTGATCAGATCATGTGAGGGGTCCAGCAGGCCTTTGGAGCAGACCCACTCTCAAGATAACACAGCCACTGATGAGTGTGGAGTGGTACTCGCCTCTCACAGGTCTCTCCTGGGCCCACCTCTTGTGACAGGGATTTCAGCAGGAGTGAGAGGCACAGAGCAATGGATAGACCAGCCTAGCTGTGGGGCAGCATTAACCACAACGTTTACCCCAAGCATTCCTCGGGCAGTGCGTTTGTTTACATACTGACTGTCTTAGTTATTTTTCTCGTTGCTGAGACAAAATACCCAAAACCCGAAGTTAAAGGAAGAAGGTTTTATGTAGCTCACAATTTTAAAGGTTTCAGTCCATAATCAGCTGGCTCCAAGGCGGGGTGACTCATGCAGAGGGGGACAGTTCATGGCCACAGAAGACAGCAAAAGCAACAAGAGAGGGCCAGGCCTCTTTCTGTGCCTTACATGTACCCAGTCTACTGGGATTAGGGTGGTGTCAGTCCAATTAGTGGACTGACCCAGCAGTCACCTACCCTTAATCCCAGCGTTGCACCACGAATCAACCACACACTGTAGATTCAGCCACCTCCAAAACAGTGCTATGAGTGAACGAGGCTTTGGGGGGACATCCAGACACAAACAGTACCACTGACTATCCCAGGAATCGCTCAGGCAGGAGTCACTGCGGCCAGTTGATTCATGTAATGAATAAATTTGATGATTTTTTTTATATTTCCTGTCATATTATCTTATAAAAATTAATGAAAAAATATGCAGTTTTTGGCCATCCCATATTTACATGATTGGACTGATAAGTGGTTAATTAATGAACAGCCTCGGCCCCGAGGGCTCATGTGACCAACAGTGGGTAGGGCTGTAGCTGCAGAGCCAGCAGCAGTCACCCGGTGACACCCACCTGGGAGACTGTCAGCTGAGAAGGGGGTGCGGTGACAGGGGAATTAGTCCAGCAGTGTCATCTGGGAAGGCATCCAAGGCTTGGGCTGCAGGCACTGGGAGACTTTTAGAGACCGGGGAGGCTGTAGTGACAGCCACGTCAGAGAAGGCAGCGCTTGGAATGCACGGGAGGGATGGCTCGGACTTGTGTGTTGAGGGGTCAGTGGGATTGGATAATGACGGGCTAGGTGTGCAGGAGTAAGCAAGGACTGAGCAAAGCCCCTATGGAGGGCTGCTCCCAGGTAACCGAGTGGTGCTATCATCAGGAGAGACAGAGCGGGTGGGCTGGGATGTGGAGGACCTGGCCCATGGGAGGGTGCCTTTGCTGAGGACAAGGCCGGGCATACTCTGGGCCCGGGCCTGTTTTGTGCACCCTGTAAGGGAGAGGTGTTTGCCTCCTTGCTCTCAAAGGAGGAGGTTTTCTGGCTGTGGCTCAGCTGGGGGTGTGTTTAGCATATGCAAGGCCGTCAGGAGGTCCCGGCTGTTCACAAGGGCTGCTTTGGAGTGCAGTAAAGCAAGGGAAAGTTGGTCACCTGGTAGCAAGGAGGGGAAGGCACTGGTTTTCAACAGAAGAGTTTTTGTAGAGGGGTGGGGTAGAATCCCAATGACATGCTTGTAGCTAGCAACCACTAAGGCTGGATCTTCATTGGCAGAAATATGGTAAGCCCCCGGGCAGATCAGGTAGCTGCAAGATCAGATCAGTAGGCGGCATTTTCAAGCTGGAGAAGATCTGAGCATTTGGGAATGGTGAGATGAAAGCAGCAGGCCAAGGGACAGAAAGGTCTGAGCGGAACCTAGGAGTAAAGTGATGGAGTCGAGAGCATGCATGGAGGGCGTGCTGGCTGGAAGGAGGCGACCATCCTAGAAAATGCAGAACCAGGAAGTGGAAGGGGAGGGGTGGGGTGGAGGCCGTCTAGAGTTGCCGGGAGTTGGGGTGCCAGGTGGGGCACTAAGAACTCAGAGATAAACCAGAGGATTGGTGGACAGCACCTGCCACCTGGAGCTCCACGCTCTAGCATCTTCCTCCAGGAGCTTCTTGGGTTCTCTCAGGCAGAAGCAGAGAAGGGGGACTTGGACCTAGGATAGTGACAGCGGATCTTTTAGAGATGGAGAGCCCAGAAGCGCAACTCGAAACCCACTTACCTGTCACAGACTGCGAACTCTGCATGAAACCTTAATACAGATGTTTTAGTTTAGAAGACACAGCTCATACATTAATATCTTTTGTCTTAAAAGCACAATAACAGCACTTTCATTGCTATGAACAGCCCGCTGCAGCACGCGTACCATCGGTTCACTGGCCCTGACCTGGAACAAGCGTGGGACTGAGAGGGCAGCCATGTCTCTGTGGGCTGGAGTGGGGTTGGGAATTGTCAAGGGTGCTGTTCCAGGAATCTGGACTAGAGGTGGAATTGGGATCCTGAAGGGCCCTGAGGAATTGGATGAAGTTGGTAATTTGGAAGATCCCATTTCCCTGCCTCTGTAGCTACACTGGCCTTGGAGAACTAGGAGAGAGACGAGCACTGGAAACTTCAGCTTGTGATGTCACATTCTTTTTTAGTGGAGACACATTCGCTGTCCAGAACCCAGTATTATCTGACAGCAGCAAATTAGTAGCTTGTGCTTGTGCTGCCATCGTGTCTGAAATCTGATGGCTTATTTTTTTAACTGAGGACAGGCTCTTTAAGAGTCAGTATGACAGGTACTGATCTTTGCCACTGTCTTACTCAGGTTTAACCCTGGCATATCTGGAGTTAACTATAGTCAGCCTTGCATATCCATGGCTTCGACCAACTGCAGATTGAAAATATTTGAAGGAAAAAATTGTGTCTACACTGAACATGTTCAGACTTTCTTCATTATTATTCCCTAAACAATATAGAATAATGATAATTTGCATGGCATTTATACTATATTAGATATAAGTAATCTGGAGATGATTTAAAGTGTACAGGAGGCTGTGCAAGCATTCTGTCCATACTCAGTTGGCTCCAAGGCATGGTGGCATGGCAGAGGAAACAGTCCATGGCAGGGCAGGCAGGAAGTGGCGAGCAGCAAGCTGCATGCCTGCCTTCTTCCTGTCCCTTGTATTCTATCCAGACTACAAGCCTATTGATTGGTGCCTTCCACACTCAGAGCGGGACTTTTGGCTCCAACCCCAATTAAATAAAAGGAGACTGTAGCTGCAGGTACCTCACTCCTGCAGTAAAGGCTTTCCTGGAGATAATATAGTTCTCTTAAATTAACATAATGTATTATCTGGAAAAGTCCATAAAGGGATTCCAAAGTCCTTCCTAGATTCCTACATTTTCTTCAGTATTCCCCTCCTTTGTTTAAAAACCTAATATATATGGGCCACCAAGGAACGTCTTGATCTTAACCCAAAAAATCTTAAATTCTATGAGAGGATTGATCCCTCCTGGAGCCCTAAAATCATTTCAGTTGTCTCATTTATTTAAGCCTTCGCCGTCCACTCGTTTGGAGATTGTAGGCCTGATCAGCCTACAATAACTAAGGATTATTAACCCAATAAAGCCCCAAGGTGATGATGGTGTTAGGCAGTAGGGCCTGTAGTGGGGAGTGATTAAGTCATGAAGGTGAAGGGATTTATGCCTGTATAAGGGACCAATGCCCTTTGGAAGGAAGCCCCAGAGAACTGGCTCACCCCGAACTCCTGTGAGGGCACAGTGAGAGGGTACCATCACTGAGAGTGATGACACCATGACACTCAGCAGACACCATGTGCTGGCACCTTCCTCTGCAGCTTCCCAGCCTCCCGCACTGTGAGAAGGAAGGTTGTGTTGTTCATAAGCACCTGCCTGTGGGTTCTGTATAGCAGCTGGAACACACTGATTTGATCACTGACCCACACAGGGCCGGAGCCATCTCTTGCGTGGTCTTGAAACCTCGTTCCACCAGTGCCTGTGGGCTCTGCACAATCTCTCTGGCAGAATATGTGGTGCCTGTATTTTCTAGGATTACAGAGCATCTACACATTTCCACACATGCCTAATTCCCTATATTTGTCAATCAAGGTGGGAAGCTGGAAAGGGAAATTGGTTGGTTTTTCAGCCCTCTGTTACTCTTCCTTTTAGGATTATATCAGGGTGCTCACATACATTCCGAACACGAGTAAGCCATACACTCTCCAAACTTAATTTCCACTTGGAATTACCTTCCAGCCAAACTTTGGACAAACACATTAAGCATGAGCCTGTTGGTTTAGAGTTCATGGAAACAGACACCAGGGCTAAGCTGTAGTTCCTTTCCAAGTAAATTAACAGTAAATGACGGGAACCAGTACTTACCAGAGGAGTTTTCAGTGCTGGAGCATTTCAGAGGCCTGCACTTACGCAGACACGCTCACGTGCTCTTTATGTCGTTCCTGTTTTAAACGGGTCTCCTCATGACCTCAGATATCATCATCATTCGTTGCGGTATATACTGTAGTATAAGTAGCAAAACTGTTTATCGGTGAAGAAGTGCATAATTCATTGTCTTTTTAGTCATCTTGCTGCACCCCTCACCCTGCTGTGACCATGAACTCATGATCCCTGACTGGGTTTAGTTTCCCCCTGACTTTCAGAGTCACGGGATTTTGGCAAATAAGTCACAGCGTGGAAGCGTAGATGTAATGAATTCTGGGCCTGAGTGTTCGAAGCTGTTGTGAATTGCAGAGGATAGAGCGTGTAGAGGGCCCGTGAGGACGGCGAGCATGGAGCTGGTAGACATTGTGTCCCTTATGGAAAATCTCTTACAATTAAAAGGAATTTATATTTGCACAGAAACACTCACAAAAGTGGCTTTGTTAGCTGTTTTGTTTGAAGTAATTTTTAGGCTGATCTTTCAGTTGAAAATATTTAATTACTGGATTTTTTCCTCTTTCTCTTCACGGTTCATGAATTTTTCAGCCACTTCCTTTTTTGACTAATTATACTGAGTACTTGTCTATTGCTACAACTTCTGCCAAACAGCTGTCATTGTTGGGTGGTAAAATAAGGGGAAAAAACCACCACCAGTCGCAAGAATTCGTTATCTCCTACGATAAAAAATAAGTAAAATAAGAGGGCCCATTTGACCTGTTATTTTTGTCCCTGGTGGGGCTCCTGATGATTTAAGTTACAAGGGCGAGTGTGCAGGTGCTGATAACTGTTCGTGGATCCCCTGCCTGTTGGAAATGCAAACTTATCTTCTCTTTTTCCTTTGGGGGCCGCCAGTCCCATCACACCCTCTGCACTTGCTGGGCTTCTCGACCTGCTGGACAGTAAGGCAATTTCTTCGTCGGCAGCTAAACAGGTACGTCTACCTCCCAGAGCTTCGCCCTGCTCCATCTGCCGTAGATGTCTGCTGTGAAACCCAGATGCCATTGCTAAGTGAGTTTCATAATTGAAGAGGTTTTTTTGTGTCGTTTTTTTGAGACAGGGTCTCACTCTGTAGCCCAGGCTGGCCTTGAACTTATGGTGGTCCTCCTGTGGATTACAGGTGAGCACCACCACGCCCAGCAGTCAAAGTGTTAAATTCGTGCAATGTTCTGATGCTGAGAAGCGGAAAGGACTTCATTTAGCAGGGGTGGGAAGCCAGCAAGGACATGCAGTTCACTCCTTGGTCCGGCCCCCTGGGGATGTAGGCACTGTCTGGCTTTGCCCTGAGTGTCTCCCCCAAACGTCTGTTGGTCTAGAAGGGGGTGCTGCAGCTTAAGGGGCAGCCTTGGCTCCTAGCCACGCTTTTCTCACTTCTCACGTCCTCACTGCCTCGCCCGAGGCTGCCCTGTCACATGGTCGCCTCTGGGAGTCCATCCTGAGCAGGGAGGGTGCGGTCAGACCGCTGCTGCTGCCCAGTTGGTGAGCTTTACACACGCACCCAGGGGAGAAATGTCAGAAGAGCATGATGCTGTAAAGCGGCTGTTTCCCGTGTCTCCACCCTCATCTGACAGGGCTACATGAGGGGAGATTCCTGGAACTTGGAAAACCAGTGCAAATAAGGACCCAGAAGGCTAAAGAGTAGCGATGCAGCAGCCTCAACTTCAGAGATCACAGCTGTCAGTGCTTCAGCCAAACCTAATGTTATTTTAATGGTGCCTTTGTGTTTAATATTTACACACTCGGACAGTAGCGGCAGGTTACAAAGGGAGGCTTGTGGCTAATTATGTGGCACCGCGGCATATGCCAGTCCTGTGCTGTACAGGGGAGGGCAGAGCTGTCGTGGCTGTTCGACCACCTTGGGTGAGGTTGTCCTCTCCCAGGACCCAAGTGGGGAAGGCTTCGGCTGTGGGCCTGTCAGGGGAGTACAAATGTTTATGACAGTGCTCAGCAGTTGTAGAAAGATTCGTTGCCTCAGGGCAGAAACACACACACACACACACACACACACACACACACACAAGAGCAGATGAACTGTAGCATCTGAAATGAAAAAGGAAAAAATCTTCCCTTCTTCCCACCCACTCTGCCCCACCCAAAAAGCAAAACCGAGTGTAGTCAAAAAGGTAGTTCCAGAAGGAAGAGACGGAAAATGCTGGAAGATGCAAGGCTGGTTCAGATGGAGAGGGAGCTGGGCTTGCATTTTATCAACCTCCAGCAAGTTTAAAGGAAGCAGGTGAACCTGGCCCATGGACAATCAAATCAAACAGGAGGCCTGTCAGAAATGTGTTTCGTGTTGGGTTGCAGAATCTACCTTCCACTCCCTTGTATATCATTGTCTCAGGGTTTTTATTGTTTTATTTTTCTACTTTTTGTTTCCTGCTTTTAAGAAAAATCACTTTGGGGTGTGCTCAGAGCAGGAGGCCCGAAGAATGGCTCCCCTGTTTACAACATACCCGACAGGAATTCAGGGCCACTGGGACCAAGGCATGCAACTGTGGCTTCCCTGTGACCAGAAGCCCTGCACACAGCCCCGTGCCCTTGCCCACAGTGTCCAACAGACCCTGTGGGGCAAGGCTGGTTTGGGAAGGTTGTTGGGTTTGGGGGCAGTGGCCTGTCCATGTGTAGGAGACCTGAGATATAATGTCTTTGAACTAAAAAAAAAGGAAAAGAAAAAAAATGACTGAATTTCTGGGAGTATATAATGTATGTTGATTATAAACCATTTAATGCAGAAAAATACAATTTTCTAATTATACCCCCTTGAAATAACTATCATTAATATTGGGTGGACATCATTCCTCGCATATGAAGAAGAGCAAGAGGGAAAGAGAGAAGGAAGACAGACAGGAAGTTAGAGAGACTGCAGAAACTCAGAGGTTATAGTGTACTTTCTTAAAGTTTATTAAGTAAACAGTTCACTGGTTTTATGAAGCATTTTACTCTTATTAATGTGCATTATATATACCAATGAGATTCAGTGTGATGTTTGCATATATACCTACAGTGTGGTCATATCCAGCCACATTTCTTCACATACACACACACACACACCCAGCACCCTTCCCACTTCCTATTTCTTTTTGTATCTGGCTCATTTCTCTTAACATGATGCCATGCAGTTCTATCCATTTTACAGCATTTGGGTTTCACTCTTTATGGCTGAGTAATACTCCTTTGTGACAGCAGGAAACCTGTTTTCTTTATCCATTTACCTAGTGTGTACTGAGCTAATTCCATGCTCTAGATGTTGAGAACAGTGCCATAATATACATGGGCAGACAGGTATATTTTGTATGCTGATTTCAGGAGTTGGCTAACTGGATCATATGGTAGGTCTCCTTTATGTTTTCTGAGGAGTTGCTGTACTGTTTTCCACAGTGGGTGTACTTACATTCCTATTAATAGTTCATAAGCATTCTTTTTTCTCTACATCCTCACCACTTTATTTTCTTAACATTCTAACTGGGTTGAGATACTATTTTATTGTAGTTTTATTGGCATTTCCTTGATGGCTAATGGTATTAAGTAGTTAGTCATATATTTGTTGGCTGTTTGTATTTCTTCTTCTGAGAAGTGTCCATTCAGGTCATTTGTCCAATGGATTAGTTTGTCAAATATTCTAGGTATTAACCCTCTGTCAGATGGAAACTAACAGATAATTTCTCCCATTTCTGTGGATTCTCTTCACTCTGTTGTTCCCTTTGCTATGCAGAAGCTCTTCCGTTGGATGTAATCTCAGTTTGTGTATTATTGCTTTTATTTCATGTGCATGTAGGGTCCTATTCAGAAAGTCACTGCCTGTACCACTGTCTTAAAGGGTTTCTGCTTTTTTCTTCTAATAGCTTCAGAGTTTCAGGTCGTATACTTAGGTCCTTGATCTATTTTGAGTTGATTTTTGTACAGCGTGAGAGATCCCAAGAGATCAAATTTCTGCATATGGGCAGTTTTCCCAGCACTGTTTATTGAGAAGGCTGCCCTTTTTCCAGCATGTGGTGCCACTGGTATGGGTTTATTTCTTGGTCTGTGTTTTGTTCTATTGTCTATATGTCTGTTTTGATGCCAGTATCAATACTGTTTTGGATATTTGGATTTGTAGCTCTGTAGTATATCTTGAAATCAGTTAGTCTGATGTCTCCAGTTTTGTTCTTTGTGCTCTCACTAGCTTTGTCTATTTGGGGTCTTTTGTGCTTCCATATTAATTTTAGGACATTTTTTAGTTGTTATGATTTGAATCTTAAATGTCCCCCAAAGGCTCATGTGTTGAAGGCTTGGTACCAAGATGATTTGCTACTAGAAAGTGGTTAAGGCTGTAGGAAAATGGCCTAGAGGAAGGAAGTCAGGCCATTGGGACGTGCACGTGAATGGGATATCAGGGCTCAGCCCCTTCCTTTCTCTTTGTCTCTGCTTTCTAGCTGCCGTGAGGTTAGCAGATCTGTTCCACCCCACACTGCCTGCCACAAGCCCGTAACAGAAGCTACTGTGAACTGAAACCTCGGAAAACATGGGCCCAACTAAACCTTCCCCCTTTAAGTTGATTTTCTCAAGTATTTTGTCACAGCAACAGAAAGTGACTGACACACTAGTTCTTTGAAGAGTGTCATTGGTAATTTGATGAGATTGCACTGAATGGCTTTGGGTAGTATGGACAGTTTAATAATATTAATTCTTCCAGTCATGAACATGGGAGGTCTTTTTCAATTTCATTCATCACTGTTTTATAATTTTCAACATAGGAAGCTTCCATTGCTTAGTTTCTTCCTAGGTATTACTGTATTTGTAGCTACTGTGGCTAGGGTTGCTTTGTTTCTTTCTCCTCCAGTCTGTCAGTGGTGTGGAGACACATACAGTCTCTGTTACATTGAGGTGTGATCTTCTCTATCTCATTTGATCAAGATTTCATTAATGAATTTTATCAAATTTTTTTCTGCATTCACGGAGATCATGATTTTATCCTTCATTCTGTTTATGTGATATATTTTGTTTGATTTGCACCCACTGAGCCATCCTTAAATCCATGGATTGAAGCCAGCTTGACCATAGTGTATTATTTTTTCCATGTGCTATTAAATTTGCTTTCCTAGTGTTTTGTTGAGGATTTGTACATCTATGTTCATGAGGAGTATCAGTCTACAGTTTTGTTGAGCATGTGTATGTGTGTGTGTGTGTGTGTGTCTGTCTGTCTCTCCGTCTGGTTCTGGTAACAAGATAATCTGGCTTCACAGTATGAGTTGGGAAGGGTTCCCTCCCTTTCAGCTCTACAGAATAGTTTAAGCATCTGTATGCTTTAAAAGTTTGGTAAAAACTCAGCAATGAAGCCATCCAGGCCTTGGATTTTGTTAGATTTTTTTTACTGATTCAATTTAGTTGTTTGTTATGGTCTATTCCAATTTTTTATATACTTTTAGTTCAATTTTGATGGGTCATGTGTCTGGTAACTTGGTGATTTTGCACAGATTTTCCACTATGTTAGCATATAGTTTTTCAGAATAATTGCTAGTGACCCATTATATTTCTGTGGTATCACTTGTAGGGTTTGCTTTTTCATTTCTTTTTTTTTTTTGGTTTTTCTCCGGTACCAGGAACCGAACTCACGACCTTGCGCTTGCCAGGCAGGCGCTTTTGCCGCTGAGCTAAATCCCCAGCCCCTGCTTTTTCATTTCTGATTTGGGCTGTGTGTGTGTGTGTGTAGCTAAAGTTTTGTCAAGTTTATTTTTTCAAAGAACTGTTTTGTTTCATTTATCTTTTATAACTGTTTAACATACTTCATTTATTTCTGCTCCAATCATTATTTCTTCTGCTAATTTGAGATTTGGTTTGTTATTATTTTTCCAAGTCCCAGAGATTATAGTTAGGTTGTGTATTTGAAATTTTTCTTTTTTAATGTAAGAACTCATTACTATAACGCCCCTCTCGGTACTGCTGTTGTTGTATCCC